ATTCATATAACGGGATGCATAGATGTTATACAATTTTATTGCTAATGCATCAATTTTTATTTCTATTAAAATCCAAGGCACAATACATATGCAACCATTATATCAATTATTTTTATTTTACTATTTTCAAATTTTAACATCAACTAAAAATTAATTCGCAAATGTTCAGTAAATAATACTTTTATTTTTGTAAACAATAAATATGTTTATATAAAATGCAAATGAAAATATCAATTAATATTATATTCTCAAATATTATATTCTCCAATATTTTGTAAACAATATTTTATCTTTTTAAATAATATATACATTGTTATTTAATGCAAATTAAAAAATTAATTAATAATTTATCAAATAATTATTATAATTTATCAAATCTACATAAATAATTCTAAGCATTAAAATAATTATTCTATTAATAATATTTTTATTTTTATACATTTATTGAAACTAAAAATCAGTTATATATGTGTATTTGATAAATTATTTATTTTATTGGTTTATAAAATAATAACTTTGAATATTATTCTTTTTAATTTGTACTTGGAGTTATTGAATATACTATTTGTTTAGATTAAATGTAAGAATTAATTTTAATAAAAGATAATTTATTTCACTTATTATCACGAAATAGAAGGTGGCTAGAGGGTTAAGATCTTGCGCTCCTAGTCGCTAGGTGAACCTGGTTTCAGGGATTGAATCACCTGAAATCCCTTTTTCTAGTGAAGTGCTTTTCTGTTAAACTCGGGTTTGATATGCCTCTGTATCGATACGTATCAGCCGATATTGTGCAATATGCACTGATACAGTCGTGTACCGGTCCGATACACACAACTGGTATTATACAATGCCAATCGTGGCGTATCTCGTATCTTCCCCAAGGATTTAAACATCGATACGATATGTCCAATAGGACTGATACGAGGCGTATCATATCAGTATCGGATTAGGGCAATATAGGATAAGTTGCAAATGGAAACGTATCCTATAAATCGCGCGTATCAGACCGGTACAAGTGTGTATCGGCCCGTATCGCATTGTATGGGCCAATACGCAATGCCTTCGACTAAAAATGCAAACGTTGCTAATAGTGTGATTTGAACCCAGAACACCACGCATGGCGCAGAGAACCTTAAACTCTCCGTCAAACCATTTGGCCATGCCATGCGTTGTGATATTTAACGAAATAACACAATTGTTATTAATGTCGATAAAATAATCAATATTTATGTTAAACAACTTAAATTTATATTTTATTCATCAAAAAAATTATTTATGTTAAACAACCCCAATTAAAAATTAAAATAAATAATATTTAAAATTAGCATTTTATAAAAAATGGAATAAATAATCTATCAATTATATATTTACATCAAAAGGGGTACCAAAATAATATACTTACATCAAAAGATGATTTTAATCTAAAGAACTTTGCACAAATAATACATTAATAATAGAATAATTACCTTACTACATAAAATTTATAAATATGCACATGATATATATCTTACAAATGTTATATATATTATAATTATTAATTAATATTTTAATTTACATTAAATGACAACATATCTATTATTTACAAAAAAATAAAAATATGTTTGCAAAATATTCAAGAATATAATATTAAATTGAATTTATCAAATCCATTAATTTACATTTATATGAAAATTTATTTTTAATTTCAAAAAAATTATTCAAATAAAAATTTTAATAATGAAAATTTTATTTTAATAATTAAAATTATGAATTTGCATATGATATATATCTTAGAAATTTTAACCAATTTTATATATTTTCAGTAATTATTAAATGATAATTTAATTTATATTTGAGAATTTAATATTTGGTTAACTTTTTTTGTTAATGTTAAAATGTAAAAATAATAAAATAGAAAATAATTGATATAATAATTAGGATAAATATAATAAGTCCATCTTGGACTCTTAATTAATGCATTGTATGATATCTGCACATTTTGCTATTAATTATAATATATTTTTATGCACACCATTAAATATATATTTCTTATATATTTATACATTATTTATGGCTATTTGACCATAAATTTAGTGTTATTAATGTATTTATGAAATTTTCATGTGTTTCCCTAGTGTATCCAAGTTTATCATATTTCTCGTCCGTACCCATGCATTTCCAAAGCGTATTCGTATCCAAGTTGTCCAATATGATACTCAATACCGATAATTTAATCCTTGATCTTCCCCTACTGATATCGATAATGGGCGTATCGTGTCAATACCGATATCGTGTCAATACTGATATCGATAATGGGCGTATCGTGTCCAATATGATACTCAATACTCAATACCGATAATTTTAATCCTTGCCCTCCCCTCTCTTATTATAGGAATCTTCTTCTTTGGCCCTACTATCATCATGCAGTGAAGGGCAAACCTTGGGATCTGGAACATTAGACACAGGTAAAGAGCACATATTAGTATTAAAAACTGAACTAACACCAATACCTGAAGTCTGCATAATGGGAGGTACAGGCACATTAAGCATTCCATGATCACAAGGTTGGTGCTCAACCTCTACCCTGATTGAGGTTTAAGCTATGAATAGGAATGCAAACAGATCAGATCAGATTCGAATCAGGGTATATCTGAATCCAATTCGACTCTATTCATGGCAGATCTGATCGGATATGATAGGCAAGGATCTGAATTTGAATTCGATCAAGAAGTCAGATCTTCGGGTCTGATCCGATCCAATTTCTTTTCTTTAAAAAAATAATAAATTATTAAAAGAAAATTAAAATATACCAATTTAAATAAAGAAAAACAAAAAATACAAGTATTTTTTAATTATTTTCATCATATATATACATGTTTTTATAAAAAATAAATAATATAACAAATTTACAAAAATATAATATAAATAATATATTTATAAATAAATAAATAACATAAATATATGTATTATATATTTATATAAATAAACATATAACATATATTGGATCGGATAGAGGTGATCTGAATTCAATATGATTTCTGATCAGATCCTATTATCTGATCTGATCCTAAGATCCGAACAAGAGCGATCCGAATTCTACCAAAGAGGATCGGATCACGAATCGGATTGGATCATGATCCGATCCGTTTGCACCCCTAGCTACGAGATCATTTGTAAAGGATATACTTCTCTGTTTACCACAAAGACTCTATTGCCTATCCTTTCCTAGGTTTCCCTTAACAAGTTTCCAATGATCCTTGTCTAATCCCTTGTAGACACCCTACTTAAGGTGTGATTGTGTGAATTTGGGTCTAGTCCACTCTTCGTTGGGCTTAGTTTTCCCACCTTGACTTCCATATTGTACTCTACCATATTACCAGTTTACCACTCTTGTCGTCCACTGTTGTGTCTAAAGAGCATGTTTCATTTGAGCTTTTTTCTTCATCAATAAATAAGATGTTCGTCCATAGGGAATCCTCCAACTCTCCCATCGTTCCTTTCTCTCCAATCTCAGAACCGACCAACGAATCTTCCTTTGACTCTGAATTGCTAGACTCATCCTCCATCCGCTCACAATCCAGCCCCCCATCCTTTATCTATAAAACCCTTATCATCAAACTTCCTTCTTGTGTATCTTGGATTTGGATGCTCAGTCTTCACTTGTGTCGCACTCCCTTGTGATGCCTCTTGTCTAGGAAGCCACTGCAAATCGGATTTCCAACCCTTATTTTATCGTGGCCTACTAGTACCAGTGGCCGATGGACTCTCGAAGAGGGGCTTTAAAGGCCAATTCGTCAAGGTTATCTGACGAGTTGCTAAAAGCACTGCTAATCCCACTCCCACCTAGTTCAGAGTAACCACCCCTATTACTTGACCCGCACTCTTCCATTGTTTTATCGCTATATCTAAGCAGATCTGACAATGTACCCGATTTTAAAACCTTGGCATAAGACAGTTTCTCAAGATTCTTCTCCACCAATAGCCTTTCGTCTTCAACCTTCGAACAAGACTCCCACAGGTCTCCTCCTCACAATCACTAATAGAAATCCTCTAGTTTTTTGTTCTTTACTTTCGTATAAACGCCTGAATGTGGCTTCAGGTAATTTCTCTCCAATCTCCACCTAAGAAAAATAGACTGAGCACTTTGGCCACCATGACTAAGTACATGCACCACCATCTAGTTCATAAAATGGATCTGTTACTCCAGTGGACTTCATCAACCCAAGGCTCCTTGGGTCTCGCCCTCACTTCCCTCCATATCAGGATTAGGTGATCCTTCTTCAATCCAAACCTCCTAATCACTTCCCAAGACCCTTAACTCACCCTCTATTGCTGGCCAAATCCTATATGCCCTGCAAGGAGGAGAATTTGATCCACCCAATGCTCCCAGAGACACCTCAGACAAGACAATCACCTCCCTCCTCTCCAATATAATCAATGAAACATCCTTGAATAGGGAGAAACTAACATTTCCATTCTATGAATCCTACAGCTATGCTGCTTCATTTTATAATAAATTTTCCACTAAATAATCTAGACTTTTAATCTATTTTTCCCACCTAATATTGGAGGTTTTTCAATCGATAGTTTCAATTTTTTAATTACATAAATATACAAAATTCATCTACAAATTTAGACATGGCTAGATTGTTCAGGTTGGCATTTGTTCCATAAATAAAGGGGCCAGAGAGGAACACAGGTGAGAAGTGGCGGAGCCAGGAATTTTCTTTTGGGGGACCAAATTAAACAAGAAAATGAAATAGGGAGTAGAAGAGGTAGGGTTTTGAAAGATATGGGACAGGAAGGTTCGGGTCTATTACAGTTTTTTTTTTTTTGAAAAGGAAAAATGAACTTTTTTTAATTTTGGGAGTTGGAGGAGCGTTAGAGAGTATCTTAACATTTCAGTTCAAGTTTTTTTTTTTTTTTTTTTGGGGGGGGGGGAGGGGGGAATGATATTAAAAATATACGTGACACACACAGTATAAATAACATAAAATTTAGAACAGTTAGAGATATATTTCCTTTCCCAAATAGGTGCCATAGAAGAGACCAAGAAGCAGCTTCATCAAGCAAGAGACGAGCCTTTTGTCTCATTAATTTATCTTCCACAGCCCGCTGCCTCCCATTCGACCCATACCTGCAAAAGTGACACACAGAAATGCAATCACATCATGTTATAACTTCCAATATGGTAAAATGAAACAAATGTAAGCACTAATATTTGTAGTTCTTTTATTTTCTTTATCTTCAAGGCCCAGTCATTAGTATATGCCACTAAAATACTTGTTGGCATCATATAGTATCTTCCGGGAGGGAAAATAAGAACAATCACATAAAAACATTACTTAAATTGCATAATTCTGAGCTCATAATAGTTTAATTGGTCAGCTTATAACAGAAAATAACTTGTTATAGAATATAGAACAATAACCCTGCCATGTCAGCACTGCACCTATTACAAGAATGGTCAACTCCCAATTAATCAAGCAACAATCATAAAACAGCTTGGGTTGCTACCATTTCAAATTCCAATGTTACATACTCACAATTCTCGTTTTTTAACAATTTCTATAATAGTTATATGGGTCTTACAAAAAAGTTATTCCTTCAAGGAAAGGGCTCACTCCTTCTCAGATCGGACTATCTTAACATGATTCTAAATTTCAAATACAAAATAAATCACAAAACCAATAAAATAACATATGCAATAATAAAGATTTTTACGATCTTCAACAAGATTTTTTATCCTTCTGGTGCCACATTTTTCCACTGGTAATACTTCAACTCTGGCTGGACTATCTTGTTTATACAAAATTACAAATGATCAAGATACAAATACTGATAAGGGCCATTCCCTAATGTTGGTCCTGGTTATCCATTATCTTGGAAGGGTGGACTGAATACAAACCTAACCTTCAGCATTTTCTTGCACAAAGTGGTAACTCTCAAACTCAAAGTTGTTTTTTTGCACTTGTCAGCCCAAGATTTTTTTTATAAGTTAGCTGAAGATGCCAACAGTGATATGTCAGGGGTAAAAAGTTAGTCTGGGTAAACAACTAATGTTTAGAGGTCTTAATTGCCAAGCAAGTTTTTTTTTTTTTTTGATCAGCAAAAAACTTTCATTAATAGCAGAGAAATTAGGTAACAATAGATAAAGATTGCAGAGGGACAAACTGCAACCTCCAGCAATTAGTTACAATTCTGCCCAGTACAATGAAGATCTATTTGCCCCTTGTTTTGCTAGGGTATCTGTCATCCCATTTGCATCCCGTTTGACCCAACCAAACTGAGAGTTGAACTTCCTTGCAAGTGTGTCAATTTCTCTGAAGATAAATTTGAGCTTCCAAGGTACTGATGTGAAGTTTTTGGCCCAAGGGGTGACTAATAGCGAGTCTCCTTCTATTTCTAAGTCTGTTGTTCCTATCTGCTCAGCCATCTTTAGACCTTGAAGTAGGGCTAGAGATTCAGCCTGTATTGAGTCACCAAAACCCATTGGTCCTGAGTAGAGTGCCACCACCACACCCAGATGATTTCTAAACACACACCCTATGCCTGCCCTTCCTGGGTTGCCAAGAGAACTCCCATCAAAGTTCGGTTTTAGTTTGTTCAGTGCCGGTGGTTTCCATTCCATACTTACATGTACTTTGGGTATATTTGTTTGTGCTACTTCAGCCCAATTTCTTAGTATCTCATTTGTGGAGTAGTTTTTGAATATCTCTATGGTCTTCACCCAATGTGCAGTTCTGATTTTTATGGCTTCAATAACTTCCTCCTTTGCTTTGCTTTTTCCTGAAAAGATTCTTAGGTTTCTTTCCTCCCATGTAGTCCATATTGTAGCTGCTCTTACTGCCTTCCATACGCACTTTCCTCGTTTCTTCTATTGACACAGGAAAGAGGGGCTGAATAGACTTACCACATCCTGTGGGGGGGAGCCCATCTGCATCCATAGAGAGAACAAACAACATTCCAAATACTAGAAGCAAAAGAGCAAAATAAAAGTAAGTGGGTTAAAGTTTCACCACATCCCAAACAAAGGACACACACATGAGGAGAGAGGCAATTGTTTGGCCTCCTTTTCTGTAGCACATTACAAGTGTTTACCTTCCCTAGGAACACTTCCCAACAGAAAGCTTGTACTTTTGGAGGGATCGGTTTAGACCAGATTTCTCTCACTATGAAGTTCACCCCCATAGGATCAATGTGAGTGAGCAAACCAAAGAAAAATGCACAGGAAAATAAACCATCAGAAGTTGGGGACCAAACTCTACAATCAGCTATAGATTGGTCCAAGTAGACCCTCTCAAGTGTTGAAATCAAAAGCACTAGAAACTCACACTCATTTTCCTTCAGCCCTCTTTTGAAATCAAAATCCCAAGAGATCCCTGACTCTGAAAGCACACCAAACCTAGCAACAGGTTTGTTTTTATGGTTTGATAAGGAGTAGAGGTCTGGGAATTTGATCATAAGAGGCACATCCCCAACCCAAAGGTCTTCTCAGAATAAAACTTTGTTGCCACAACCAACATCAAACCTGATAAATTAAAGAAATGTTGGATATACCTCAAAGATTGCCTTCCAGGGAGAGGATGGAGCTGCATTGGGGACTAGTTTTGCATCCCAGCTGTTATCTGCTTCACCATGTAAGCTTTTAATGACCCTGTGCCACAACCTTTCTTCTTCACAAGGGAATCTCCACAGCCATTTCCCTAGAAGGGCCTAGTTTTTCTTTAATAAGTCCCCTATACCTAATCCACCCTGCTCCTTAGGGTAACAAACTTGCTCCCACTTCACTAAATGATCTTTCTTTGCATCACCTGGTTCCCACAAAAAAATCCTTCATAATCTTCTCCAACTTCCTAGCTATTTTCATTGGGATCTTAAAGGTGGAGAGGAAATAAGTGGGTAGGTTTGCTAGGGTTGATTTTATCAAGGTGATTCTTCCCCCCAAGGATATATAATTTCTCTTCCACATTGCCAACTTCTTCATGAACCTCTCTACCACCAGTTTCCAGAAGCTTTTAGCTTTCAGATTCCCACCCAAGGGCAAACCTAAGTATTCCAGAGGTCAATTTTTCACTTCACAACCTAGCAGATTTGCCATGGCTTGGATGTCCCCCCCTTCAATGTTGATTCCCGCTACACAGTTTTTTCCCCAATTGACTTTCAGTTTGGAGGCCTGTTGAAATTCATCCACCAATCTTTTCAGATTCCTTAAACTAGATTCATCACAGCTTTCACAAAAAATGATTATGTCATCAGCAAATTGCAAATGAGACACCACCACTTCTGATCTACCCATCCTTCAACCTTTAAACTGGTTTTCTTGATCAGCCTTGGTGATTTGTTTACTCAAAACCTCAGCCACAAAGGTGAATAAGAATGTGGATAAGGGATCACCCTGTCTTAATCCTCTTTTAGCCTAAAAGAAATCCTTAGCTACCCCATTCATCAGAATAGAAAAGTGTGTTGAGCTAATACATTCTTTAATCCACATCCTCCATCTTTCACCTAGCCCCATCTTTTCCATTAAATTCAACAAGAAGGACCAATCCACCATATCATAAGCTTTTTCTAAGTCCAATTTACAAATCAAACATTTGCCACCTTGTTTTCTCTTAGCTGCCACACACTCATTTGCCACTAAGTTCCAATATCCATCTCCATTATTGTAGTGTAAATACAATATACATTTTTTGCACATACACAATAATACCCAGTGCAGCATTTTGATGTGTACCAACAATATGTGTGGGCCCACAGCATTTTATCTGAGGGAAAAACCTAAAAAACATGAGTTGGTAAAATATCTACAAAGTAAAAAAGTTTCTTTTATTGGTAACAGTCAAATTTTATTATATCTTATGAAAGAATTTTATGTACAAAACTGAGAACACTAAGCACCCCCTGTGGACTCTCTCCTAGTCCCCTTATTTTTTTTCCTTTTTTTACATCAGCATCACCCATGCCTTTTTTCACATGCAAACTTTAAAACATTACATGTTCCCTAAAGTACCCTAGAAAAGCTGCTCTCTATGGACTCCTTGCTTAGCAATAGAATCAACTAAAGCATTGACAGATCTGTGTCCAACTAAACTGAATCTCCATTCCCCTCATCATCTCCTTAATTCTGCTCCAATTGTTCCAATACTGTCATGGAACAAGTCTTCCCTGTCTCAACCACCCAACCAATTTTTCTACTATGAGCCATGTAAAGTTAAGAGACTTTTCCTTCAAACCTTGTAGCACTGCCAATAACTCCACCCTTGTTGAATTTCCTTAACCCACAAGAATCTCACCTTTGTCATTTCTAAATGTTCCCCCAATACTCAACCATTCAATTGGCTCCCCCTAATGCAGATATCAAAAGTTTATGATGATCAGTAAAGAGGCCAGAGGAAAACAAAAAAACAAAAGAAGAAAAGAGAGATTAATTGGGAGGTCAAATTGTGATCAATTACAATAGAAATGCTAGACAAAGAATTTCATGAAAGAACAACACCATAATAATTGTATTAATTTGTGCAACAGATGGACACTGTGCCCCATGCTTGCCCCTAGTAGGTTGTTTGCTCTAGCCCTCTCTCTTGAGAGGACTGACAATGCACTAGTTATTTACTTATCTTTTGATAATACACTCTTTGATCTGGTTAACAATCTTTAAAAAAAAAATGAAAGGCAACTACAAGCAAATCATGATATATTGCTGATGTGCATGTAGATAGGAGGGAGATAGGAATGCAAAAGGAAACCATTGAAAAAAAAAATAGAATGGTTGTCATGGTTGAAGACAACACAAGCCCCCTAACATGAAGAATAACTAATCCTTTAACTTACCTAATCGACTCTGAAACACTTCGGCATGCATTCTCAAACCGTAATATCAGATCAGGAATAGGCATTAACCCTGCAATAAACAAACACTCAACATTTATATGGATTGAAATGTAAAATTATATGCATTTTGAGAGTCTCCAGAAGAAACTAATGAAGATTAGAATAGAAATATGTGCATTCAAACTTCCTTTTCCCCCTTATTGATATATGCACTCTGAGTAATAAAACAGTCAAGAATTATTCCAAGTAGCAAAAACAGTCCAGATTCAACATATATGTTATCTTAGAGGCAACTAAAGTCTTTTTTCCTTTTTTTACAAGGTAAGAAATATGTATTGTATTAAACCGCCAAAGGAAAAATGTACTGATGTACATGAAGAGATGGAAAAACTAAAAAGATGGAGAAATATGAACAATCAACTATCCTTTACAAGACATTAATTGGGAAGAGAGCTGTCACTATACAAAAAAGCTCTCCCCCAGATTAGGTTAAACCATCTGGATATGGAATTCGGGTCCATCTAATATGCATTGTCAGAATTCAGATACTCACTAATGGAAAAACAATTCTTCTAAATTGATCAAAAAAAAAAGAAAAACAATTCTTCTAATACATAAACAACTAAAACTAACCCACATAAGAATATATAAAATCTGAAAAAGAAAAATAAATTGAACCATTCAAAAAGTATCAGTGTAACAATGTAGCCGAATGTTACAGTTGTAAGCATCAATGTTTGGCCAGCTGAAGCGGGAAAACCAGGAACTAGAACGTAATATGGCTCAGGGCCCGTTTGGGAGGACTACTGTGTTGATTAAGCGGAATTCACTGAGCCACTTCGGAGAAGCTACCTGAGATAGCTTCACCAGAAAGTCGGTTTTGCAGTTCATGTAAGCCCATTTTCAGCTTTCTAGTATTTTACCAAACATGGCTACACAGCGTTCCAGGTTCCTCAGCTCATGTAAAGCCAGAAGCTGCTGCATGAAAGCCCTCCAAAATGGGCACTCAATGAAAACCAACTTGTTCTAGAAGTTCTAAGGTTGAATTGCACTGTTAAAACTGGCAGCTCCTTTTCAGTTCAATGCCCAATGTGGTTTTTAAACAAGATTCGAACTAGTGCACAATCAAAATAATTTGCTAGAATATAATAGAATGTCATTAATCAAAAAAAAAATAATATAATAGAATGTCTCAAGGTAGACAGTGAAATTGAATTATATAATTCTTCAACAAATTGTTATAGAAAGAGCTAAGACAATTCAAACATCAAGCACCTTGGAGTGCAGAGTCAAGTAGTGATGCAAATAAGGCAAAAGTTGTTTCTCCACAATCTGCCAACACTTCATCTTCATGCTTGCAAGATTTTAACAATGAAGGTACTTGTCGAAATGAGTCCAATGCATCATTTGCTTCTGATAATCCATGACCCTCAACAGACAATCTCCGTTTGGAGGAATATGGTGTCTTTGTGGGAATTCCTTCTAAGCCATCATCTTCAAAGTTTTCAACCTCTTGTTTGATTTCCTCAAGGAAAAGTGCAGCATTAGGCCGTCTTTGGATGCTATGTTCATCAAAAAGAATCCCAGCCACACTGAACCTCGAAATTAAACCTTCTTGGGGTGGAGAAATGCTTGAAGGTGACCGTCTTTTCCTGCATATGTTTACATGTTATACAGTCAAGCACAAAATTAAAAAAATAAAAAATAAAAACTGATTTTTTCTCATGGCGTGAAATTCAACAGCATCCATTTTTTCTCTGTGCCCATATCATTTATCTATCAATCTAGAATTAAGTTCTACAGTAAAACAAAACAGAGTTTTATTTTTTTTTTAAAAAGGAAAAAAGGTATAAGTCTAGAATTACAATTGATATATTAGCTAAGTCCCATATATTTAAACAAGGACACAAGCTCTACTTCATAACCAATGTAACATTATAAGTAGAAGTACTCAGAGGAAAAGGAGATAGTCCCCTCGAACTGGAAGCAATGAAAACCCATAAGTGGCTTTGAAGTATAGAGAGCTTCACCACATCTACCAAAGAAGTACACTGAGTAAAGGTACACCATGAAGTCCTAAGGAAAGCAAACCTACCCAAGCCATAATTAAGCATGACAGAAGAACAACTTTTCTCTTGGATGCAGACTCACCTTAACCAATCTCCCTATTTACTACTTATTTTTGTTATCAAAGCCCCAACAAAACTAGTGAAAATAATTGAAAAATAAGATGAGTTTGTTAAGAGAGCTGGAGACTCTAAAAAGGATCAACTAGTAAAGTGAGAAGTAGTACGTAGAAGCAAAGAAGGAAGCCTAAGAATGGACAGTAATGGGAGAGAAAAAATTCTCTACTTGGCAAATGATTGTGGAATTGAGCAATCTGATATGAAAGGAATGCGGATAAATCCAGTCATTCCAAGGGTTGAAGCTGTTGATTGGTTGCTATCTTTGCACAGCCTTTTTCTTATCAACAATAAAGATTCATTCATTAATTAAAAATATGTGGGATTAAGTATAGTCTGATGACCCAAATGTCATCCCCAAGAACTACAACCAAAGTTACAAAGAGGCCCAATATAGATGCTGCCTTGCAGCCCCCTGTTTGCCTAAAGTATCAGCTAACCCATTTGCACTCCTCCTGATCCACCTAAAATTGGCATTTATATCCTTTGCTAATCTTTCCACTTCCTTGAAGATATGTCTGAGGGTCCATGGGATATGTCTGTTACATCTTGCCCAAGATATAACAACTTTTGAATCCCCTTCCACCTCCACCTGTCAAAAACTCAATTGCTTTGCCAACCAGAATCCTGCAATAATGCCAGTAATTCTGCCTTTGTTGAATTTGTAATGCCAATTGGCCCTGAAACCATTAACCCAACAAGGCGGTGTTTCTATGAGCAATGTGTCCTAATCCTAGACCCCCCTTGCTCTTTTGGCTTACTAACCTGTTCCCACTTGACTAAGGATCCCCCCCCAAAAAAAAAAAAAAAATCCCATAAGAAATCCTTCATAAGGATAAGTAAGTTCTTCCAAGAGGCTAGTTTCTTTGCAAATCTCTCAACCACTAGCTTCCAAAATCCTTCTATCCTCGGGTCCCCCCCCAAAGGTAGGCCTAGGTAAGTAACAAGCCAACTCTTAATTTCACAACCCTACACCTCTGCAATGCTCAGGAGCTCCTCTTCCTCCACACTAACTCCTGCAATTCCGCTTTTGCTCCAATTAAACCTCAAACTAGAAATACCCACAAAAGTCTCAATCAGAAACTTTAGGTTTCTTACCATTTCCAAATCAATTTTCTCTCAAAACAGAACTGTATCATCAGCAAATTGGATATGTGAAACAACTACTGGATCTCTTCCAACCCTCCAACCCCTAATCAGGCCCTGGGCATCTGCAGCTGCAAATGGATATATCAAGTCTCAATCTTTACATAGCCATTTGGCAATGCATATATCAACTCTAGAGGTTATCATATGACCAGTTTACATTCTATGTGTAGAAGTTGGGAGAATGTTTGCCAACTGTAGATTCAAAGTAGACTCGCCCTCCTCTTTCTTGAATGGATGAAATTGAATTCTTACTTGCTTATCAAAAAATAAATAAATTGTTGGAGGGAAGAAGGCAAACATAGTCCAGAAAATAATTCCATTTGCTGTTTGTTGGAGCATTTGGAGGGCAAACTTTCTCCCTAGGTGCATGTCTCAGTAACAAAACATGAGGGTTTCGCTCATTATAGGACTACACCAAACATCTCACTACATAAACCAACAAGCATAGAGTGGAGTAGACAAAAGCTGAAAAATTTTAATTATAGAATGTCTCATCAATATAGAGAAAGAAAGGTGGAGCAAATGCAATAGGAACTGTTGGATGTTGAAGAAAAGGTCAGATTGCTGCGAGCATGGTTTAAAATGTTCACATATTTCCATTTCCATGGATACTAATACAAAATAATACTAGAATCAACATATTCCCCAATGAAAAAGATAGGTAAAGGCACTATGTGGAGTATACAAGATGCTATTATAACATGATAAATTGCATTACAGGAATGTTGAGCATCAGTGTTGTTGTTTGTGGAGAGTTAAGATAGTTTACCTCTCCCTATCTTGTAATTCTCAATATTTCTAATGAATTTCTGTTATTGATCAAAAAAAAATGTTGAGTATCAGTATCATCACCCACCTAATGAAGAAGATGACCAATTTGAGCCAGACCAAAATTCTTTTTTAGATGTGATATTAAATCTTGGTTTTTGTTTTGTGTAATAGATAAATTTGATCAATCAGAACCATCTCCACATTCTGTGAGCTTAAGTTTTGCTTGAAGTGAACATACTCTATTATGTAGTTTTCACTATTAAAGTCTGCAGAACAACTTCAAAAGCATATTGTTTTGTCTATTGAGTATTGACCATAGATTCTTGGCTTTGTTTGATGGTTTGGGACAAGATAATAATCAATAAAGAGTGTAGCACCTATTCTTCTTTTTATCATTCCATAAAATATCATTGTATATTTCCACATATTCCATTATGTTCCCACCATGTCTATAATTTTTATAATATTTTCATACAACACTTCCTATATTTGGATATCAACATTTCCACCAACACTAACACTATAAGCCTTGGGTGTGAGAAAGGGAGGGGACAAGCTGCGGCAACACAAGGCAGGGGGATAAACACCTATAGTAGAAGAAGCTACAAGAGTCCACAGTTAAGCAGGAGACAATCCAATGTTTTTAACAAAATAGTTTTCAAGGTGCCAGGGCAAGACTAGGGGATTGGGGGTGCCTTGCCCTCTTTGTCTGGCCAATGAAAAGGGGTGACAGCCTGAATTGTCCTCTGCTACTCCTTCAATCTTCCTCTCGATTTCAATCCTCAAACTCATCGTAATCTCCAGAACACCCTTTATCTCCTCATGCCTCCATATAACTTGGCAAAGTTGTTGAATAGCCCATCTGACGGTTTACGCAACTATACGGATCCCATTTCTTCGTCGGTATACACTCCAACTACAATAGTGGCTTCTCTATTAGTTGCATGAGTACATTTAGATGTTTCAATCCCACGGAATCTTAAGCATCACTTATGTGTATGAGTCATCCAACTTCTTAGAACTTCTAATCCTGAGTACTAAACGTGTAACTGCAACTACTCGCCCTCATCCTACATCATATTATCAATCAAATCAAAATTGACGAACGCTCATCGAGAAATTGCCGACATGAGTATTGTGTATGAAATGAAAGAATCCAGCAAGAGAACAATTATTCATTTGCTTATACTTGTCAAAGAACAGTTATTCGAACTGAAAAAAGGTCTGAATAAAACAACTGCCCGTCCCCTGGACTCGGTATTTTTAGAAACTATAAGTCAGAGAGAGAGTACCCATATCGGCGAAACTGTTCTCTGGTGCTAAGATCTTCAGGGTCGAAATAACTCGGAGATGTATCCATGTCAACGTCCATGAAGACAAAATAAAATGGCGGTCGGAACTCTTCAACCACGCCCCGGTAAATCCTAATTTGCCTGGTTCGTCATGCTCCTCGGCTTCTGTGCTGCTTAAACCCTAAAATGCACGCGCGGGAACGATGATGCATTCTGTCCTAATTTGGTGTTGTGAGTCTTGTGACACTCGACCCCCTTCTTTTTGTGTAAAAGACTTAAACCTCCCTTCAGGTTTCTTCTCAATACAAAAACACCCATTTCAATTTTAACTAAAGACCTCCCCTAGGGGTGTTCACGGGTCGGTTTATTAGGGTTTTTCCAACCGACCCGACTTGGTCGGTTTGAGTCGGTTTCGGTTTTGCTCCTGTACAAAATGACACCTAATTGAATTCTAATTGTAATTGCGTAATGGGTTGCCTATTTTGTGTAAAATATTATAGAAAGTTATAAACTATGATAGATTGCCTATTCTAATTGTAATTGCCTAATGGGCCTTCTAGTTCTAGTAGAAGACTAGTTATAGTTAAGTAGGAAACTACCCATACTAGGAACTACCGAACTAACCCGATATATCGATTTATATATTTGCCCAACCCGAAACCGACCGATACTAATGAAAACCCGACCGATTCAGGTTGGATCGGTCCGGGTTGGTCGGTTTGGTCGGGTTGGGCATTCTTATGAACAGCCCTAACCTCCCTTCGTTAACAATGCGTCAAGTTGCATAGGAAAATTTTCCAATTAGTACTACTTTACACCTAATGCCATTTGATTTCCAAATTTTAAAATGTGACATTTCTATAATCAAACTTTCAAAACATTTACTAATGAGTGTTAAGTGGCATTTTGAGTATCATCTAATTCTCTTTATCAATCATCCAAACATTGACAAAAAATGAACAGTCCTAAATTCTTGCCTCTTTTGTGTCTTTTCATTTCATACATCTTTTTAAATGCCACTTAACGGTTAGTTAATAATAGATATTAAATTGACATGTTTTAAAAAATAAAAGTACTAAATCGTCACATTTTAAAGTTTAGAGGCTAAAATAACACTAAGCCCAAAGTACAAGGTACTAATTGAGAATTTCCCTTAATGTTACATAAAACCCAGTTTTGCCCATGTAAGACTGCAGGTGGAGTTTGGAATTTGGATCTGCTGATTAACCACAATACTTTGCTATCGGCATTCATCCAGCCTCACAACAAATTCAGCAATGCTCATATGGATGAGCACATCATTCCTCTCGCCTCCAATAGAGACCGGATCTGCTCCTCACACAGGGCGCCTCACAGTTACACCCTACCTTATATTGGAAACATCTCCCATACTTATTACATTATTATTCATAGGATATTCCCAATGCATGGTGAGATGTGCATGTGAGGTCGGTGTGAATAATATATTTCAATTCCCTCCAATATTATTCCACATAGAGGTCAAACCATCGATTTCAACCCACAATTGACCCATACGATCGAACCATCACCTAATCGCAAATTTGGATCTAGTTTTTATAAAATTCAAAATTTCTTCAAACCACGTTTGACACATTTGAAGCGGTGAGTAGGTCATGAATTAAGCCAATAAGGTGTACTGAAACTTGTGGGGTTTTGAAGATTTATGCAATCTAATGAGGTAAATAAGCTTTTTCTCAATGTTTTCAAAAAAAAGGCCCCAAAACTATTTTTTTGTACTTTTATAACCGAAAATAATAATATAAATTAAACATAAAATTATATATATATATATACATATATATTGCACATAGAATACAATTATACATTATTTATTCATACAATAACTTACATACACACGTACATACATATATTGTAAATTTATGATGATGGAAAGACACGATATCAAAATCACTTTGACCAATCAAACACCCCGTGGATTTTGATGAAAACCCATTGGACCGCATTTTATGATATTAGTTGAATGGTTAGAAGTTTTTAAAAATGATTGAAAGGTTTAACCATTTATGCCTCCAGGTCACATGGATCAGTGGCACATTAAAATTTAGGGATAAGTACACTGTACTCTTGCTCAGAAATCTGACATGGCAGCCCCCTCCCAGTCTATTAGTAAAACCCCCCTATAAATTGCATCATGCCTATGAATTTGGTACTCTTAGCTCCACCATACCTATGTAGACTGAACTATAAAAACCCCTTAAATTTAAGTCTTTACCTTTTTATCATGGGGCCACATGGGGGATAGCCCATTGATTATCCTTTTTATTTATTTATTTGCTCCATAAGGCTACACTATCACGAAAGGGGGTAGATCATCCCCTAAACACATAACCCCAACCCTAATGTATGTAAGATTCAATCCCAAATCTTCGTTATGATCAAGCTGAAGACCTTACCAACCAATAAGTTGGTACCTTACAGCCCAAGGCTTTAATTGGCTTTCTACCATGCACCTCTTCATATTCAAAGTTCAAATCAGCTCCCAACACTCGGTGCCAACAAGATCCCAACCAGCCATTGCATCATTTCCCCATGAATGACAAAGGGAGATGTCCCCAATGTGACCTTGTAGTGGCTTGTTGGAACAGAGTTGGCAGTTATTTGTTAGTAGCTGAACCCTTCCCTCATATTCATGCCTAAACCCTAAAGTTTGTGTTGAAAACACATTTGACTAGACACATATCCTTCAATTGGGTAGGAGTCAAGTATTATCTAGGATTCTAAGGGCCTGTTCATTTTTTTTTGGATTTTTGAGAGGGGGGGAGTTGGTAAATGGGATTTCGGTTTTCCTTGACCAAGATACCTATGTTCTTTTTCTTTTATGATTTATGTGAGGCCCATGGAAAATTTATTTTCCATTAGGCTCCGTTTGGTTTGTGGGATGGGGATGAGAACTCATGTTTGTTTTGAGGAAAAGAGTGGGATGGGGTGAGAAAAAGGTGAGATGCCAGATCCTAAAATAAAGGATTCGAGGTCGCACCAAAACTGTGCGACCCCAATGGAAAAACTTGAGAAAACTCGAGATCGTCTTCATCCTCGTTGTCGTTGCCGGTAACAGATTTGTCGTTGTTGGTTTCGTCTTCTCCCTTCGACTTGAGACGCGTTATCGTAGCTGCCCAAGTAAAGAAACCCAAGCAAGACCTCCGATGGAAAAGCACTTGTTTGAATGTCCAAAACAGTAACAAAAACAACAAGAGTACAACAAGACCAAAAAGACGAATTAAACTCGCTTCGATTCAACAGAGATTAGCTCCATCGTCAAAATCCGATTTTCCAGCACTAGAGTTTCCACCGTCAAAATACTGGATAGAATAGGTAGGTAGAGGCTTTTCATCGATTGTCGCCAAGTATCTCAGCACCAGAGTTTCTTCGATTTTCCAATACCTACAGAGTGATCGTTCATTAAACTCTCTCTCTCTTTCTCTCTCTCTCTCTCTGAGTCTTTCCTAGAGAGTATCTTGAAATGAATGATGCCAGTTGTTTTTTTGTTGCTTTCTTCTCCCTATGCTGGCAAGGCGCGAAAGTCTGCAAGAAACATCTCCAATCACTCGAACGTCATTAGTCGCCAACAACATATTGACACTCTCCGATGGTCGAATCTTGGAATAAGAAAGGACGCCGTTATATCGGCACCAGCTAGAAACCAGCAACGGTAGAAGGTAGAAGACGAAACAGATCTGCCGCTGCTGGTAACACTGTTGATGATGAGGGTAGGCATTCACCGGTGATGAGGGCGGATTGAACCTCCGAGATCTCTGTTTCGTCTTCATCCTCCCTCTGCGGATTGAACCTCTATTTTGTCTTGGATAATTTTCCTTCTATTTTCCCACGTAAAACCAAACACTGAAAAGCTAAATTTTTACACTTTCCCTTCCCACCCAAATATTCCCATAAATCAAACGGAGCCTAAGTGATACCCATATCTCAAGTGGATAAATAAATTTTTCACATGGGTGAAACTGTAAAAATTGTCTATACTTGGATGGGACAAAATTGCTCTTTTTAATAATTAAAACGGTCATTGCATTATTTAGCTAGAAAATAAAATAACACGAGTAAGTAACTCTCCGAAAAGCAAATAATGAGCCCCAAGTAGCCCATCTATGTAGCCTATTTGATCCATCTCCTTTATTATGTGACGTTTTATTCCTCCGCGTGGAACCCTTAGGTTGTGCTTCATGATCAATAAATAAATAAAAGGGGAACAAAACTCAAAAGGTTAACAAGAAATTGCCATAAATTCTTGACAACATTATATAGAAATATACTTCAGATAAAGTTCATTCCCGTAGATTTTCATCACACAAGCTATTTGAATGACATTATGTTGTTTTTAAATAATTTAATAAATATTATTTCTCTACAAAATCAAACTTTGTTGAGACCATAAGCCCTCATCTTGCTTAAAAGATAAAATAATTGGTGGAAAAATTATGGAACATGCATGCAAACTACAAATGAATGAGTTTAGTTTCTTTATAAAGGAAAAGACGTTCCTTGGAGTTCTTATCATTTCCATGCTTTGAAGAATGATCCCATTCAAATAGAAGTTACCTTTCAAGCCACGAGAGGGGGGCAAGACGAAGGGACCCCTTGTCCCCTTTACCTCCTTTTGTTTGTTTTTGAAATCTTATATGCAAATTTAAACAAAACGGAAGACCGCCGCCTTAGATTTCTGTCAAATTCCCTTGTGTTATTAGGTGGCGGTCCGAACCGCTGGCTTAGGTGTTTTTTGTGGCTAAATCGGCGGTCATGGACCGTCGGCTTAGATTTCTTTTTTTTTTCATTTTTATTTATACAATTATAGTAGGTTAATTCTGACATTTTTTGGTCATGTTGATAGCTAAGCCGGCGGACATGACCACTGGCATATACCTATTTTTTTCAAAAAAAAAATCATATACCCGCTTAATTGAAGCATTTTTGTGGTACCAGAATTTTTTATTGATTTAGCATTTTCATGCCTGTTTAATATAGAAAAACCATTTGATAAAAATCAATTTAAAATGAAATCTATTAATTCAAAGATTATATATTAAAGTATCGAAAAGACATTGTTCAAATACAATATCCAATTGACATATAAATAGTACAAAAACTTAAAAAAATAATCAAATTCTATAATAATGCAGCACATCTTCCAATGCAAATCCACTTAACATATTGGTTGAACCTGCAAATCAAAACATATAAATATTAGAATTATATTCAAGTATTTTAACTATAAAGATAGGAATAGTAACTAAAATTTACATGGGTGAATACTAATCAATTAATTGGAATATCAATAGTAGTTCAAAATATTCTATAGCATCCATAAAGGCATACTAGCAATGGAAAGAAAATGAAGCAGCTAGTTTAGAAGGTTCAAAAGTAAAAGAAAGAAAAACAAAGGGATTTTTTTCATAGCCTGCAGCTGCAAACATCCTTGTTCAGATCTAGGTATAAACCTCCTTTTTTTCTTAAGCATCTTTTGTTGCTTCAGAACATGATATCACAAATGGTATCATGCAACTTATCAACAGCTTCTTGTTTCCTTTGCTGTAGCTGCAAAAGAAATTCCAGCAACAACTCCTGCTCCTCTATTTCCTCCCTTGGAAAGGCTAAGTATCATTTCATCTATTATGAACGAATGACTACTAAGTAAATACAGATGCTAAACACATGTCCACAGCCACATTATTTGTTTCAAAGCACAAGGATTTAAAGACATGATCAATGCAATAACAGATGAAAGAAAACTGATCAAAGGTGGGAGCAAGAAGTTGCTTCAAATACCAATATAAAAGTAATGGAAGTCTTGAAGTCTGCAGCTTCTAGATTTATGAATTCCAGAATAAGAATGGCCGACCACCATAACTAACCAAAAAATAAAAAAACTAATGGCCACCATAAGAATTCCAGAATATGAATTCCAAAATATGAGTTTGTGACTTTGGGTCATAGATGGGGAAAAGGTTTTTTGGTGAAGAAGTTTAGCTTGAAAATGGAAGTGATCATGTGGGCCTGATCCCATATAAACTTAGGGGGGTGGAGGCTGGGGGGGTTTATTTAAAGAGTAGCCCCCACAACCCCAAGTTTGCCTAGGAAATATAATGGTTAATTTGGGTCAAAATATTAGAGTAGCTTTTCATTTTTTTATTTTTATTTTTGGGTAAGTAAATATGAGGGTAGGTTAGTTGATTGGAATATACCCACATTTATATAGTTTTAGGCATTTAGTTAGGGAAATAATTAATAGAGAGGTGATTATCAGCAGTTAAAAATTAAGCTTCATTTGAACATTATTTTAGGGTTCAGCTCCCAATTACAATATTTTGGGTGTGCATCCACATAAGTGCATACACAACAACCCATTAACTCCTTATTGCAAGAGGGCTTATATCTAGCAAACATGATACATTTGAATGCAATGCTTAGAACAACCAACAAACATAACCATGGTAAGTTAAAGGATGTCAAATGAAAGTATCTTCCATTAAATAGGAAATTTTGACTTGGCCCATTAGCCTCTATCGGGACAGTTCCTACTTTTTTCCATGGGAACTTACCTCTCCAGAACCATTTTGTCCGAAAACCAAATGAATAAATTATTAAATAAATAAATATAAAAGACAAAAATAAAAGATATATGAAAATGTACTCTGCCTTTATACAAAAACAGAATAATAAAATGAAAAAATATTTTCAGTGCCATCATATATACTAATGATTATGCACTTGGGACTTGGGAGATATGCCAAATATAAAGCACTACCGATCTAACCAAATTTCTCAAAGTTGTTTTGGAAGAACTCAGTGGTTAAAATACCTGTGCCTGCAATTTGTGAYAATGTGTTCTGGAAATAACTAGGTGCCTTTCTATCATTAAACAATCCAACATTGCTAACTCCCCATTTTTTGGTATTTGTTACATAATACGATGCTGGAGCAAGAGTTTCATTTTCACTCTCAAAAATTCGACCAGTAGGAGGTGCCATAGCTAGACCACCGCACTTGACTGAAAAGTTTGCATCTGTGAAAATAAATTATCATGGTTGAATGGTTCAAATTAGTTTCAATACAATGCATAAGCATAAATATGGGGTAGCTGAGCAAACATAATATGTGGTTCTTCAACAAACACCATGTGTATGGCATGGTGAATTGGCAGAAGTATGAATATGAGGCTTCCCTAACCCTAACCTAAATATGTCTCGCTTTTATCACTCCGTTAAGAAAAGATACCTTCTTTGGAAGGGTGCCAATGATCTCCTTCAATGTAACATTTTCAGGCAGTGGTTCTCCAATTTGGGTAAAGCCATAACTTTCAGCTAGATGCTTTCTTTGCTCTGCACTGTCTACTGTAGGTGGTTGAACTGGAACTGCCACAGCCTGTACAATTCTAGTGCCTCTGTGGTGAGATAAAAATTGATGTCTCCTTCCTCCTTTAGGAAGGATTACCCACTTCACATGGCACATACTTGTTTATGATTAGAAATCATATTAGTGCGCCTGTAAATGTTGGCAGATGCTGAAGGAAATCTCAGGTTCCAATACGAACCAAGGACAAGAGAAAATGGAAAATATATTTCAATGCATTAAACACTTTGAAATAAAGTATCTTAGTTAAATATACCACAAATTATTTTCTTCATCCTCAATGAAGTAGAAGTAAAATCCAACTATGTAAAGTAATTCACTCCCTTCTTTTCTTCTACTCTGTAAATTCTTTCTAGAGGGAGGAGGCCCAGTTTGGCCACCTCTTATGGCTGAGGAAAACACCTAACAAATTTTTAAGGCATAATCATTTTTTTTCTCAGGCACAATCTTCACCTTAGGAATGATCAAAGTCTCAGAATAAAAAAAATAATGAAATTCGATGATGAATATGGATCATCTTCTTTCCAAAAAGGGCAACAAGCACGTATGTTCAAATGCTTTTAAGAAAGCAGGGGACCTAGAAAAAGATGCCACAACCACTAAACAAGTGGAAAATGTTCTTATTAAAAGAGAAAAAAATAATGAATTATGGAAGTTACGAACTTTAAGAACTCCTATTGAATTGGACTAGGTGTTGATTAAGTGTCCTGTAGCAAGACAAGCTCAGAGATTATGAAAATTGCTAGCCCACATAGATTTAGAATAAAGAAGACCAATAAAACTGGACATTGTAACCAATAAGTTAATGTCTAACATATTTGAAGAAAGGAAATCTTTTCAGTGCCATGTCATGAACACAATATCGGAACTTTCTTGAGAAATTTTCTAGGGATAGTTATACATCCTTGTATACAACATAGAAACATCATATAACTAAAAATGACAAAAGGTGACCCAAGTTTGGTGGGAAAATTTGTTAAGGACAAACACGTAGAGCAGGTCAGAAACAGTTTACATATCGGGTACAAAAAAATCAAGTTGGGGTCTAACTTGTCATACAATGGCATTGTAGTTTTAAGGGCTTGCACAATCTCTTGCTACTTGGGTAATATAGCTATATAATTAAGAATCTGTCAAGAGGGAAGCCAAATCTCATCCTTCCTAGGGATTAAGTTACTAAATAGAAACTTGACTGTTAATTCAATTGCATAAAAACAGAGGATAATACAATGTCTAACAAGCAGTTTTATTTCTCTACCATTTACCACGACTGAGTATTCTATATCTATCGTAAAGTGTTCTAGTAGCAAAAGACATGTTAATTGCTCAAAGAAGCAAAATGAACTTTTGGGTTGTGATTAGCGAGACAAAGGAAACGAAAGCACCTTAAAACTGGAACCAAATACATACCACGAAAATATTGCGAGGCAATTCTACTACTACGAACTCTCCTTTGGTGGGGGCCCTGAAATCAAAAGAGTGATAAATACATAACAGCATGAAAAGAGAAAAAAAAAAAAAGAAAACAAAGCTCCTCAACCTTCATCAGCAGGTCGATGTTGGCTTAGATATTGCCCAATCGAAAAAAAATTCCCCTTCTGAAGCGAAGAACGAACAAAGGTATCTTCCTCCCTCCTCAAGCGAAGAATGAACAAAGTTTTGATGCTATAGAGTCACACACCGGTGACTATTTGTAACCCTAGATTTCTTTCCCACTGACTATTTGTAACCCTCCTCAAACGAAGAATGAACAAGTGGTACCACTTGTAACCCTAGATTTCTTTCCCAGTGACTATTCGAACAATGATTCTCCCTCTAAAATTTTTCTTGTTCGAGAAAAAGGATCATCGTCTTCGTCAAAATTTCTCTACAGCAAGGTTCTCTTTGCAGGAACATTTTGCCTTGTCGAACAGGAAACAGGCATCCGCGCGGGAGATGGGGTTTTTTTGATTCCCCGCATTTCTCATTTAGAGCGGTTCGTTGTAAGATTAGACCGATTTAATTCCGGTCTAAATACAAAATCCGCCGAGTATATTATGTTAGACCGCCGCGTCAGTGTCCAAATATGTTGTAGGATTGAGATCGCCTCCTCAGACATTAGACCGCCGGCTGGTTGTTTTTCTTGTAGTGTTAGAATAAGTAGTTAGGAGTTAAAATTAAAAAGATATTGTTCAATTGTTTCGCATTTATTTTACAGATGACAACTATACAACTGTCTGTTTACCAAGGCAAATCCAAATGAAAGACCTGCAAGCTATTGTGAAATCATTCATTACTATGAGAGGGCTTTGGGTCAAAACGTAAATATTGACTAATTAAAGTTTTTTCCAATAGAAACATATATACACCACCAATTATAGAAAATAATAACATTGTCCTGGGAAATGAGAAGGGTGGACCACCCATCTATCTATCCTGCTCTTTCAATAGAGTTTGGGAGATCAAAGAAAGCTTCGTTCAGTCACCTTTTAGAGACACTTCGAATCTGGTGCGTTTGATTTAGAAGGGATTTTCTCTTCGAGTCTATTAAAATTTTGACACATCATTCGTTGCTTAATTGATCATCATCTACAATCGGTTGAAGTTTTATGACTGATAACAAAAGCTAATACTGACAGAAAATTTTAAATCCCTCGCCGCTTCAAGTTTTCGTTCTCAAACTCAAACCTACTCCCCCAACCCAACTATTAATCTTCATCAGTGATGTTCAAAGTTCAAACCACAACATTACTTTGTTCAAAGGAAACATGCATGCAACGAGCAGGCCAGCATGATCTACATTCTACTTTCTTATTTGCAGAGAGAGATAAGAAAAATGATGAAGACTCAAACGGAAATAAATAATTAAGCGCAGTTTTCTTGATCTTAACTGGTGAAACGGAAATAGGTTTTTGTATATGGGTCTTCTGAGGATGAATTCATCTTCTGTGAGAGTTGTGTAGTTAAGTGAATGGACAGCCCGAAGAATTGCTGCCCGAGCTCTCGAAAGTCTTTCTTCAACCTTGTCCTAGCTATCCTTCTTATGCATATAATTGAAGGCAACAAAAAAACTAAGTTGAACAAAATCCAAGATTGAAAAAGAAAAAAAAAAAAAAACATTTTGAATTAAACAAGCTTGAATCTACTCACTTTAACGTGATTGTCAGTTACAGTAGTAGGACTGAATTTGAAGGATGGCACGAGAGACCCAGTAAAGAATTATTGGATCAGATTCATCTCTTGAGCTGGTACCAGTGCCGGAGATATTTGCGGCACATGAGGATTGATCTTTTTGTGATTAAAATGGGTAATGGATGAACTGAAAAAGGTGGTGAGGTTTTTCTGATTAAACGGACAAAAGTAGAGAAGCAGAAGGAGATTAGGGAAGATCGAAAGAACACCGTTGCAGTTGCCGTTAAAATCTACAGTAGTTTTAATGCTTGGGCCAGGGAGCAAGGTCCGAGTCTGATAAAGGGTTATAGAATTTTTTGTCAGTAATAGCTTTTTATTTTAAAAAATTATACAACTTAACAAATGGCCAGTTGAGCACAGATGACGTGTCAAAATTTTTGTGGACTCGAAAAGAAAATCCCTTCCGGACTAAATGACGGACCGGATCGGGAGTATTTTAGAAATGATTAAGTGAAAAAAGGACATCAAGAGCGAGACCCTGTTAAAATATACAGTGGTTACTATAATTGTATACTCGATGTCTTGCTTTTTATCCTAAAATCATTTTCTGATCCTCTTCTTAAATTGCAAGGATTTTTTTATTTGAAAAAGGATAAATTAAAGACCCTTCCGTTAGACTTCCATTGAAATCCGCCGTTGTAATATTTTTTAATTTCTATAATATCCTAATAATAATTATTCGGAGAAAAATACTGTTCATCTTCCTCTGTTTTTGGGTCCTTGCAAGTGAATGATCAGAACCAGATGAGAAAGTATATCCTCCTTATATTGTTGGACATTGTCGAGGATAAACTCATTGCAGCTCGGCCACAAGAGGAGCAGTTGAGGGGTGAAAATCGAAAATGCGAGAAACATTGTTGGTTGACGAAGAACTAAACAACAGTAGCGCCAACGGTAACAAGAAGAAGAAATCTGAAGGAGATAACAAAGAAGTGATCGATGTAGCAGCATCGACTACAGCCGTGGTGGTTCCGCCACCGTTCGTCGTCGGTCGGAGCCGATCTTAGGCTAGTACTAGAAGGGTAGCGCCGGACTCTTTGCTTCTGATTGTGTTCAACAAGATCGGAGATGTGAAGGCGTTGGGCCGCTGCTGCGTTGTGTCCCGTCGGTTCCATGGTCTGGTTCCTCAGGTGGATAATGTTGTTGTGAGGGTCGACTGCGTCATCTCTGACGACGACACTTCTTCGGGTACTGTTGCTTTCGATAAGACACGAGGCGTCTTTTCGAATCTCGTCCGTTTTGTTTTCGGTAGCATCGTTAAGCCTCTCTAGGCCCTTGGTCAATTTCTCGGCCCTAAGAAATCTTCGTCTGTCTCGTCTCTGAACGGTGGTAGCAGTGATGGTGGGGGAGGCGGAGGTGTTGGTGATGACGAGGAAATGGAAGCAGGTGGCGTTACCCACCACTCCCCGACCCAAGTGTTGAAGAACTTCAATGAGATCCGTCGCCTCCGAATCGAGCTTCCTGGTGGAGAATTAGGAATCGAGGATGGCGTTTTGCTTAAATGGAGAGCAAATCCACCCTTGGCACCTGCGTCATACTCGGTGCTTCATCTGTCCTTTCTCCGGGAACCACCAAATCCTCATCCATGCAGGAAAATGGCGTTGGTGGCGATGGCTTGTGTGTTGGAAATGGAGATGACAATGGGAACATCCCTGGGTCGTTCTACACCAACGAGGGCCTAAAACTGAGAGTCGTCTGGACAATCAGTTCTCTGATAGCTGCATCAACAAGACACTACCTGCTCTAGCTGATTATCACTGAGCATCACACCTTGGAAAGCCTTGTCCCGACTGACGCCGACAGACAGGGTGTTCTTTGTACGAACAGAGAGCAGTTGGAGGAGCTAGAGTGAAGCCCTTGTCTGCTTCGACAGCTTCAAGACGGACGCTGGTGCCTGCGCTGAACATGAGACTCTGGTATGCTCCGCATTTGGAGCTGCCCAACGGGATGGTGCTAAAGGGGGCGACATTGGTATTCATTCGACCAAGTGAGCAGACTGCCACCAAGAAAGAGATCTATGATAGTTCTTGGGTTTCGGCAGCATTTGAGGAAGAGGAGACGTATGGAACGGACCTATTGTCTTGAGATGAATTCCTTATCGGCGCAACTAAAATTGAGGTAATTTTACTAAATCCTCTTTTGAAGGATAAGAGATTTATTATATGGATGGCTGAACCATGTAGGGTGTAGGCGAAATTTCAAAAATTTCTTTATCCCATTCGGGAATCCTATTACCTAATTTAAAAAAACTGTATTTTTTAATGTTAGTTTTTTAAGCAAATTGGACCAAGTCTAAAACCAAGATTATGGAGAGGAATATCTAATATGGAACTCACGCAAAAAACTCCTCCTAACGTAGGTGTTTACGCCCAAAGAGGGTACCAAATCCTTCATCCACTAAATATGACACAGCTTATGGTGAGGTAGGATCAATAGGATGGTTCTTCAGCAAGAATCAAGCAAGGGCTGGTGAACACGACTTTAAATTGTTTTCTCTAGTAACAAATAATATTAAGAACCATTCTTGATCAGATCCAAGAATGGAGATCGAACTGGGTAGGGGTGGCAATAACTATGTAAGAATGCTATAGATTTCCGAGTCTGTTAAGCTATTGAATTCGCCACCTATTTATAGCCTTTTTGGATCAACCTCCTAATCCAATCATGAGAGAATTTCTTATTTAGATCTTGACTCTTAAATGGATAAGACTTATCTTATCATTTAGCTAATCTTGATCAGGTTATAAGTCAGAATCATACCCCTTTAATTAACTTACTTAAGCCCAGTTTGAAATGGGTTTTAGGCCCATTTAGTCACATAGCTCACTTTCCCTTTAAATGTTGGTTAGCTTGACTTTCTTTGTATGGCGTGGGACCCTAGCATTGATCTATACATCAATCACATTGGTTCAACCCAATCTCTGTTACAAGGCTTAGCCGAATTCATTGCATAACACAGTGAACCCCTGAGTCCATCAGTATGGGCTCTTAATGGGCCTAACATTTACACTGAATGGTCATTGGGTCCAGTCACCTTATGAAGGCCCAAGGACTGTGGGCAGATGCAAGATTGACCCATCAGGTATTCCCTCAATAGTGTTACACTTAACCTCTCAGCTCTTAGTGATCAAACGCTGCCCGACAAGAGGGGACCTCTCCCTCGGTTACAAGGTACAGTGTTGCACTCTCTATTCACATGGATCACGGGAATTAAAACCTTTTGCAAACAATTTGTGAAACCATAATATATATGTATATTTCTATATAAATATATTTTACAAAACAAATTTCAACAATTTTGAAATCAACTGTCGGCAGTTTTGGTTTCATCCGAGAGAGTGCATTCCCCGATCATTCACTTTGTCCGACAAAGGGGCTGATCCTATCACTATGATCACCTACTCAGGTGAATTCTCGGACTGCCTCAACATACCTAGGTTTTGACCCCCTTTAAGGATCTCACTGATTGGCATATCAAAGGCAGTCCAATCCAACACCTAATGCAGTACCATAATTGAGTCTATGGGTCAGGTGTAACAATTCAGCTTTGCCCATCTATCTCAAAGGTCTAGGGCAATGCTGGAATTTGGTTCAGCTCAAGGTTTCAAGAAAATCCACACTATATGTATCTCAGGTCTCACACTGGAATTTGGTTCGGCTCAAGGTTCCAACGACTGTAAAGATTCTAAACTAACACGAGTCTCATAAGTGTCCAATTTAAGGGTATTACACAGAAACACACCAAAACAACATAAATCAATTATGCACTTTATTCTAAACTAACATGAGTCTCATAAGTGTCCAGTTTACACAAAAAATGAACAGTATTTTTCTCCGAATAATTATTACAAGAATAGTATAGGGTTTAAAAAATATTGCAACGGCAGATGGGG